CTACCAAATGATAAGTGATTGATTAATACTGTGTACAACATACTTGGAGTACTTCAGGCTCAAAAAGTCTATAATCTTATTTAAACATTGTAGTAGCTAAATATTTTCAACTTTCAAATATTTTAAAACTTAAAGTGATATGAATGAGGTAATCACAATTAGAAAGTAGGTCACCAATTACACCTGGTTTTTATATTTTTATGCTTTTTGTTCTCTTATAATAAAGAGTCAACACTCTTTACTAGTTTTTATCCAAATTGTAGTCAGGATTTCATCAGTAGGGAATAGTTCAACCAAGTTAATATGACTAGGACTTATTCATATTAGCAGTCCTTAACAAAAGTCATTAGACGTTTATCATCAGCATTGTGTTTACTAATAACTAACCAATGAACAAGAAAATAGTTAAGTAACCATTAGCTTAACATTAACTTGGTATTAGCCTCCAAGTCTATGTAATATAAATAACATGAAAACTCACATTTTTGCCTTCAATGGATGTTTAGTTTCTTGTGCAGTAATTGTTGTTCTTCAAACTCAAGTGCAATTATTTATTCATTTGTTTTCAGCATACAAAACGTATTATATATTTTCAAGTCTTTAGCAACTTAGCGTAGATGTCAAATTATTTTTGCGTTAAATATATATTTGCCTGAACTTGTGTGAAAGTACACATTGCAAATAAAGTGTTGAATCTGAATTAAATGCTGTAGTATAACTATATCTTCATCGTATCAATAGATCTGCATCAGATGCTGGCTCCATTTAGGTGAGTGGAGTATTTCCAAATATATTAAACCTGTGTAGTCCTAATGCCTCTATATTATATATTATCGTCCAGGTACACAAAAAGGTTGAAAAAGTACATTTGGGTGGAAACAGTAAAATCTTGATCTGACTGATTGGGTTGCACTGAACTGTGGACAAGTTAAAGCCCCACCTGAGTTTGCTTCATCATACCTCTGCCAACACAAATTCATCTGACGTGATCTTCCTCTCTGCCATCTAGTTTTCTACATTTACTTTCACTTTATGTCTATCCTTGTCACTCGTGCACATATCCCGACATAACCCATGATCAAATAACTCAAATGAACACCAGACACACATTGGAAAGTGCAAATCGGATTTCATGAATTCATAGGTTCATGAAAAAATCTCAAATTCTCAAATGTGGACAAAACACATTCCAGGTACTTTTGCCTGTTATGTGAACATAGTTTAAGAAAAAAATTAAAAAGCATAAAAGTAAAACCAATGAAAAAGAAGGGTTCAAACAGGAGCCAAGCTAAAGGCTATGATAGACCATCACTTCTGCTTCCTAAGCAACAAACTGGAGCTTCATCTGCTGAGATCAAAATACAGACAGCTCTGCAAAAGTACTCTCTAAACAAGGCTTCATGGCATAATCCTAAGAAGGGAGTATTATATATTTTCAAGGCATATAGTGGCATTTTATAGCACAATCAAGTAACTATGTTAACTAAGTTGTAAAAAAAAACTGCGATATCTATGAAATATGACTTAAAGAATTTTGACTTTGTAATTTAATGCCTTGAAATTGGGCCTTTGTTGCTTTTAAAAACCCTGCATTTTCTGAAACTTCACCTTCAGGGAGTCATCACAACATGGCTCCTTTATTAACCCTTTAACAATGTTTTTATCAATGTTGCACTGAGAAGTAGTTCCTGCAATGAAATCAGCAGAAGCGCAGTTCCACCAGGTGTTGAGTGTGGGAGGTACAGAGGAGGCCTTCTCTGCGAAGCAGAAACTCTGAAGCTTGGAAACTCCTCAACGCCGTGAAAAGAGGAGGAGCTGTGCCTCGCTGCACGAAAGCGTTATGCAGTACTGAATGGTTCAAGAATTTCTCTAACATGCATGGAAGAGTCAAGGTGGGATGAGGGAATAACATTATAACATGAAGTCAATTTTACAAAATACTGCCCCTTTTATGCAACTATACAGTAGAAGTCAACAACATTGTTCCAGGTGAACAGATTTGCAGATGTCTTTGCTGATGAAATCAAAGACTGCTCTCTGATGGTAAAATTTGTTATTATAAAAAGATGATAACCAACTAAATTCTACCAACTAAAGGCAAAAAGTTTGTATTTCTGGATTAATACATCTGAACCCACCAAACAACTCTAAACAGGAAGCACAGAGCTAAACTCTAAACAGGAAGCACCTTCTAATACAAAGTACAAACTCGTTAGGAGAATAAAGACAGTTACTATAGAATCTGTAACAGTCAATTCAACTCAGCATTTGAAACATTACTCTGAAAGTTCTCCTCTTCTTTCTGAACACTGCCACATTCCTGTGGATTCTCAACTTTCTGAATGAGACTCCACAAATGCTACACACCGATTGGTGTCCCCAACTCCACCACACTTAACATCAGATTCATTCAAGAATGTGCACTTGATCCACACAGTCCTGTGCAATCACACATGGGGAAAGCCTAATAACTAAATTTGCTGATGATATTCCAGTCGAAGGAGTCATTTCAGACATGATGAACAAAAAGCAAATCAATCAGTGGACAGCATAGCAAATGACCATAAACTTCTGGAGGCCTTGACTTGAGTACACGACCTTCAGTACACAATTGTAAATTTATTTAATTCCAATTTAGTTCATTTATATAGTGTCAGAAGAATTGACTCAAGGCACTTAAACTGTAATGACGTAGATAAGTTGGTAGATGATTTTCAGTCTATAGTTTCATATATCATTGATTCCATTGCCCCAATTAAAGTAAAGGTTTTGACTGGTAAGAAGAAATCTCCATGGAGAAAAGCACAAACAGTTCGATCTGCAAGACAACTCTGTCTCAGAGCAGAACCAAAATGGTATAAAACTCAACTTCACGTTCATAATAACATCTACAAAGAAATACTATGTAACTATCACTCAACACTAAAACATGCAAGGGAGGCTTTCTTTGCAGATGTCATAAACAAAAACATTAACAATGCTGGAGCTTTATTTGCAACAGTTGACAGGCTCACAAACCCTCCTATGACGTTACCTCCTGAATTCAATCTAATGCTGCCTGTAACAAGTTTTCCAGCTTCTTTTCAGAGAAAATTCAATAAATCAGATGCACATCAACTCTAAATTCAGAACCTGTACCCAAACAAAACAAACACATGAAAAATGACCCATTTTCAACTACTTAATTATAAAACCCTAGAAGAAATTATAAGTCAATTAAGTTCAAGCTCCTGCTGTCTGGATGTCCTTCCCACACATTTCTTTAAGAAAGTCCTGCCTGTTATTGCTACTGATCTGATCCAAATAGTAACTCATCATTCACATCAGGCGTTTTCCCCCAGGTTTTGAAAACAGCAGTTATCAAACCTCTGCTAAAAAAGAACAATCTGGACAAATCACTACAGCAGAATTACAGGCCGACCTCTGACCTCTGACCTCCCATTCATCAGCAAAGTTATTGAAAAAGCTGTGTGTAAACAGTTGAATAGCTTCATGACAATAACCAACTGCTTTGACTCCTAACAATCTGGTTTTCGTGCTCACCACAGCACGGAGACTGGCCTAGTCAAAGTATTCAATGATATCCATATAAATACGGACTGTGGGAGAACCACAGTGCTGGTTCTGTTGGACCTCAGTGCAGCTTTTGACATATTACTGAATGGACTGGAGAGTTGGGTTGGACTCTCCGGTCCAGTGCTTCACTGGTTGGAATCTTACATAAAGAACAGGGATTTATTTGTTTCAATTGGAAACTTCTCTTCAAAGAGGTCAAAGGTCACATGTGGGGTGCCCCAAGGTTCAATCCTAGGACCCCTCTTATTCCATATTTATATTGTCCCACTAGCTCAGGTTATAATAGGAAATAATATTAGCTACCATAACTATGCAGATGACACACAGCTCTACATCACAATGTCACCAGGTGACCTTTGACCCCATCCAATCACTGAATAAATGTTTAGAACAGATAAATGTGTGGATGTGTCAAAACTTTCTCCAGCTGAACAAAAATAAAACTGAAGTCATTATTTTTTGACCTAAAGAGGAAAGATCTAAAGCTATAGATCTAGAGCTATTGATCTAGAGCTATTGATCTAGAGCTATAGATCTAGAGTCAATGCACAGCTTCAGTTATTACAACTAAAAACTAGAGATCAGGCCCAAAACCTGGGAGTAGTGATGGACTCGGACTTGAACCTTACGAGCCACATAAAGACAGTTACAAAGTCGGCCTTCTATCACTGAAGAACATCTCCAGGATTAGAGGACTAATGTCTCAGCCAGATGTAGAGAAACTCATCCCTGTGTTTATCTTTAGTCGCACTGATTATTGTAACAGCGTCTTCACAGGCCTGTCCAACAAATCAATCCTCCAGCTGCAGCTGATCCAGAAGCTGCTGCTCCTGTTCTCACTAAAACCAGGAAGATAGAGACATAACAGCAGTTTAAAGTCCCTCCACTGGCTCCCTGTAGCTCAAAGAATAGATTTTAAAATACTGTTGTTAGTTTATAAATCACTGAACGGTTTAGCACCACAATACATTAAAGATCTGCTGTTGTTGTATCAACCTTCCAGACTCTCAGGTTCTGGTTCTGGTTCTGCTCTGCATCCCCAGAACCAGAACCAAGAGAGGAGAAGCAGCTTTCAGCATCTATGCACCAAAAATCTGGAACAAACTTCCAGAAAACTGTAAAACAGCAGAAACCCTGATTTCCTTTAAATCTCAACTAAAAACACATTCTGTTTAGAATTGTATTTGAAATGTAATCAATTACAGATTTAATGATTATTGGCTGAAAGTGCTGCAATTCTGCCTACATATTAAAAACATTTCATTTGCATTGTTATGGAGCTTGACTTTATGTAGTTTTTGATTATTAATTCTATGTTGCATGACTTTGTGTTTTTGTGTTTATGATGTAAAGCACTTTGAAATGCCTTGCTGCTGAAATGTGCTATACAAATAAAATTTGATTGATTGATTGATTGATTGATTGAGAGTGTGTTGATGTACTGCACCTCAATGTCATACAGCAGCTGCAGCACCACAGACATTACCCCCCAACTGTCCTCTGTCCTGCAGAAGACAGTGAGGGGAGCAAAGGAGTGTCCCTCCTTTCTGTTGGCTGCAGGAACAACGTTGTGAGTTTCATCAGATTCCTCAGATCCTCATCAGACTGTCATACATCTTTTTAAAATGCTGAACTTAATGCTAAGATTATCTAGCTCACTTACTTAATGTCTTTTAGTTTGCATGAAGAAAAAGACAACAAAATAGGTCTGATTTGAGAAACAGCAGACAGAAGTTCCTCATTAATTGATATATTATGTCAAATTATTGTGAAGTGCCACCAGCATTTCTTTAACTTGTACTTTTTACAAACATTCTAGCAGTTGAAACAATATGTCCATTGTTCTTCATTGGTAACACACCATGCTTAGAGGATAGTGATATATTTCACCTTGTATCTTAATAATTGATCTAAATTTGTGTACAACTGATTCCTTTTACATATTTTTGAAGAAGCATGTTAAATCATGTGACTGTTATCTCAGTGTTTTCCAGTACTGGACTTGAGTGTCCTCTGCCCTGCATGTTTCAGATTTTTTCCTGCATCAACACAACTGTCTTTTAAAACATAAAAGCAACTAAAATTAAGAGTTTTAACAATTTATCTTCCCAAATTCAGAAGATTTAGTTTACAGAGAGAGAATTATATTTTCTGTTTCACCAGCAAAATAAAGTTATGACAATTGTTGTATGTAAAGCCAGCATCTAATCAACATAAATAATAAACCCAGAGAAGGTGCTGTACTTGTTGTTGTTGCCTCCATGAGCTTTGCCTCCGTCTAGTTTGATGTAGATCTCGTCTCCTGGCTCCAGATGCAACACGGCGCTGTTACTGGCGTAGTCATAATTTTGGTCAGCGTCCTGGGCTATGGCACTGGCACGTACCTGCAGGAATATGAAAACAGATCAACACAAATTAGAGTTTTGTATTCATCATCATAGTTGGCCTGTCCTCAACATATGCATAACCATAGAATTAAATGGAATAAAAATAATTCTTAATTCCAAACAATCTCCTTTGTTTCAGCACTTATGCTTTAATGACTGGGGCATTAAAGCATAAGGGCTGTTCACAGTCAATCCTCATGCAAAGAGACAGAGGTTGATTAGTTTAGCAAGAAAAATGGGGTTCAGATGTGCACCATAAATGAGATGTGTTTGACCTAAACCCCAAACTACAACTGCAGCCAAAGGAGTTAATTCAATTACTTATTTTGCCAAATATTTTTTAATTGTCATTATTTTGTAGAAACTAGTTTTTACTTTGACAAGTGTTTACTTTTTTGTAATTTTTTTGTCACCAAACCACAGCTGAAAAAAACAAAAGAAAAAACAATCTGGACAAGTTTTCATTGGAGAAATATTGATCAATGTCCATCAGCAAAATTGTTGAAAAAACTGTTTCAAAAGTTAAATAGCTTCTTAATAATGACCATCTGCTTTGAAATTTTTCAGTCCGGTTTCTGTTCTCACCACAGTACTGCTCTAGTCAAAGTGTTCAGTGACATTCATATAAACACAGGCAGTGGAAGAATCAGAGTTGGTTCTGTTGAACCTCAGCGCAGCTTTTGACACTGTTGATTGTGACATGTTACTGAAACCACTGGAGAGTTGGGTCTGAATCTTACCCACAGAACAGGGATGTCTTTGTGTTAACAACGTTTCATCAAATCTGATACAGATCACATGCAGGGTACCCCAAGGTTCCATCTAGGGGACACTCTTATTTAATATCTACAAGCTCTGCCTAGCTCAGATGACAAAAATAAATAATTGTAATTATTAGCATTACTGTGCAGATGACACACTGTTTTACATCTCAATGTCACCAAACTGGCACAAGGACAAATGTTGAAATGTGTAGCACACAAAAGAATTCCAATGCATAAAACCATGTGCACACACCTGGCTATGCATCTTTCCTTTATACATCTCAATTTGCATGAAATAGAGCAGCTGCTGGTCCGCTCTGTTACCATCCATAAATACATATCTAAGTTAGTATAAACCTATGTACTATGAACCTATTGTACATTTATTGAAACCAACATTTACTCAATATTTTTCAGCTATACAGCTCAAATTTGAGACAAAATAAATATTTGTAGGACAAAATACATCTTCCATGTATGAAGGTTATTGATGACATGTTATTAAGAATGGTGGTCAGTTTGATTCCTGGTCTACCCATCCTCGGTGTTTGTGTCATCCACTTTGCCTGCTAGTTCATGAATTGTGTTTTGCCTGGGTTCATAAAGTCAGTTTTCAGTATATTTAAGCAATTTGTAGTTTGTTATTGTCCACAAAAAAAGCTTATATTCAGAGCAGACATATTTGCATACACCTACTAAACATCACACCATGTTCATTTTTATACATGCCGTCTTGTGTGTAAAATATGACAGCGCACATTTAGAGTGCTTATGCATGCATTATTCATAGCCTGACCCTAAGCACAATGCAGATAATTAGAACAAATTAATATGTGGATTTGGCTTACATATGGTACATAAAATGAATAATCCAAAGTCAGCACACAATTTCAGTTATTACAGCTGGAAACTGGAGATCAGGTCCGAAAAGAACCTTCAGTGACACATGAAGAAAATCATCAAGTCGACCTTTTATCATTTGAAGACCAATTTGAGGGTTAAAGGAATTCAGCATGTAGTTGATTTGAAAACTCAACATATTTTCACATTTTTTCCCCCTAAAAAATAAGACAGCTGTACTCGATCCAGCTGATCCTGCTGCACATGTGTTAACTGTTTGCCTTGGATACATTTTTTCAGGAACTGTCCTGTGATTATAGCAGTCATATGAGTCACAGTGCAAAGAATTAAATACTTTTTAATCTTAATTTTTGCATGTGACTATACTGTAAAGATATTAAGTGGTCAACCTTGTCAACAGACTCAGTGTTTTGTTATTTGATGTGCTATCCCACACTCCTGCTTTACTGCACATTGTTAATGTCAGGGAGTCTGCCCTCATAAAACAACATGCACAAGTGAAGTCAGGCAAAAGACAATGCCTTGCAAAAACAAATTGACCACATATTATTGCACAGCATAGCTAAAGTCAGCTGTGGAGCATGGAGTTTACTGTGTCTCTTGGCTAAAAACTTACCAAAACTGTCATCAAAGATAGTAAAATTCATTTATTTTATTTTAACTTTATCTATTGAAAAGATAAAAGAAATAATCTTGAACATATTGATCAACAGGTTTTGCATGTCATTCAACACATTTTCTCTCTGATTTTGTCATCCAGGGTGTCAGACACACACACACACACACACACACACACACACACACACACACACACACACACACACACACACACACACACACACACACACACACGCACACACACACACACACACACACACACAAATAATACACATGCACAATAAAATATAGGTGGTAATGTTAGCTAGTTGGTTGGATAACTGGTGTTGGCTAACGTTGAAGAAGGCTTAATATGTTGAGTTGTGACAATAACACTGTTACAGTATTCATGATTGACACACACACACATTTGTGAGGTAAAAATAAAGATAATACTTATATGTAAGACTTCTTGATGTGTAAAATATTATTATTCAGGGTGACACTTAGTGTGTATAGTTCACAAAAAAATGTTTTCCTGACAGTCACAGTTGGTAAGAAACAAAGATTCCCATTAAATTCCATAGGAAATGAATGTGGGCCACTTATAGAAGAATGGGGTAGTAATATAAAACATGATATATCTTAAAATGTACAAAAGGTCAATTAAAAATTTGAATTGTGTGATGTAACATATTTTTTGAGGAATATGAAGTGATGAAAACTTTGCATTACAAAGATATTGCAAAAATATGGCCTCACCGGGTCCAAAAGGACCCACTTATGCATCAGAAGTAATCATTTTGGCAGCAGTGTTGGTAATTTGCATTTACCTGTGAATGTTGTGGACAGGTGGGCTATTGATGCTAAAGCCCTATGTATTATGTAAACGTGCTTATTGTAATATTTGAACACGTTATGAACTGTAACTATGGCTAACTTAATTGCTTGTAGGTTTGTCTTGCAGAAGAGAAAAGAACAGGAAACCAAATGACAAGAAAAATACGTTCAATGTCTTTTTTTCCAAGTTGAAACTTTTACCTGATTGTTTTTGCACAGATCCGCCCACATGCTGGTTCCATCTCCTCCACGCATCAGAACGTGATACGTGAAGAAATAAATCCCAGGAATGGAACACGTGAACTTTCCAGAAGTTGGGTCGTAGTGATTTCCCAAATTGGTCACTACGTCGTCAAATTTGAGTACTTCATATCCTTCGTGCTGCTTTTTCAGTCCTGCGTAAAAGGCGATCTTTGGCACAGTGCTGTAGGTTGCGGCGCTGATTGCGCCAGCAACTGCGCCGGGTCCCGGGGGTCCTGGTAAACCAGGTTTTCCCGGTTCACCTCTATTTCCCGGTGGCCCAGCTGGACCGGGGTGTCCCGGTTGACCTGCAGCTCCTCTTGGTCCCACTTTACCCGGACGGCCCGGTTCTCCTCTGGGACCCTGGATAAAAGTGGGCAACGACTGCAGGAGGCTGTTGTCCGGGACCGCGTCTGGAGCGCCGGTGCTGCTTGGAGTGGTTGTGCTGTATGGGTCGCACACCATCCTACAAGCGCCGAGCATCTCGTAGTGCGTTAATGTTCCAGCTGAGTTCACTAGCACTGGAATAAGGACAACCAAAACCAGAACCATCATGATCCCCAGGACCCCCGCTGCCACCAGTCCCTTCCTGCCAGCGAGCCGTGAAAGCGCAGGACGGTCCTGCTGTCTGCGTTTGGGGGGAATTTTGGCTGCCTGGAGAGGGAAACCTCAAAACACAAAATATGTTGCTTTTATGATGAGACTTTTCAAAAAACCCTTCAGGCTCTATTCTCCTGCTTTGCTGGAAAATCCTCGAAACGAGTTTAAATCTTAATTCCAGCAGTGGATCTGAAAATAGATCGAAAAGTAGATCAGAGGCAAAGAAAGAAAGCAAACGGAGGCAACAAGGTGTAAGAGTGAGGTAGAGAGAGAGGGCGGGAGAGAAAGAGAGAGAGAGAGAGGAAGGAGAGGGAAAGAGAGGGAGAGAGAGAGAGAGGTAGAGAGAGAGGGGGAACAGAGAGAGGGAGAGAGAGAGAGAGGGGGAACAGAGAGAGAGAGAGGGGGGGGGAACAGAGAGAGGGAGAGAGAGAGAGAGAGAGAGGGGGAACAGAGAGAGGGAGAGAGAGAGGGGGAACAGAGAGAGGGAGAGAGAGAGGGGGAACAGAGAGAGGGAGAGAGAGAGAGAGAGAGAGAGAGAGAGAGAGAGAGAGGGGGAACAGAGAGAGGGAGAGAGAGAGAGAGAGAGAGGGGGGGAACAGAGAGAGGGAGAGAGAGAGGGGGAACAGAGAGAGGGAGAGAGAGAGAGAGAGAGAGAGAGGGGGGGAACAGAGAGAGGGAGAGAGAGAGAGAGAGAGGGGGAACAGAGAGAGGGAGAGAGAGAGAGAGAGAGAGAGAGAGAGAGAGGGGGAACAGAGAGAGGGAGAGAGAGAGAGAGAGGGGGGGAACAGAGAGAGGGAGAGAGAGAGGGGGAACAGAGAGAGGGAGAGAGAGAGAGAGAGAGAGAGAGAGGGGAACAGAGAGAGGGAGAGAGAGAGGGGGAACAGAGAGAGGGGGAACAGAGAGAGGGAGAGAGAGAGGGGGAACAGAGAGAGGGAGAGAGAGAGAGAGAGAGAGAGGGGGAACAGAGAGAGGGAGAGAGAGAGGGGGAACAGAGAGAGGGGGAACAGAGAGAGGGAGAGAGAGAGAGAGAGAGAGAGAGAGGGGGGGAACAGAGAGAGGAGAGAGAGAGAGAGAGAGGGGGGGAACAGAGAGAGGGAGAGAGAGAGAGAGGGGGAACAGAGAGAGGGGGAACAGAGAGAGGGAGAGAGAGAGCACTAACCCAGGTGTATCAAGGTTAGGCACCAACACAGCAACTTTTAAACTGTTAGCATCTGCATGTGTAATTGCAAATCATTTCTACAAAACAAATGTCATATTGTGTCTTATGAAAGTATTCAGATGGCAGAATTAGGAAATCATTTCAAGAACACTATCTTTTTAAATCTAATAATATAACAAATGTGACAAACTGGCAACCTGTCCAGAGTGACCCGCCTCTCGCCAGGAACGCTTCTGGAGACAGACACAGCACCTCCCCACCTCATTAGGGACGAAGGTGTAAGAACATGGATGGATGGAATATGACAAACAAAATAAACAGGAAGAACAAGAAACTGATCTTTTCACTGTTTCTTCTAAAGGACACTCTACACACTGCAAGATGTTGCTGTTTCACTGTTACCTCCAAATGTCAACCTGTTTTGGTTTCAATGAGATAAAAACCGCATAATAAGAAACAATCTCATTTTTCGATGTTCCTCTATTCATTTCCCAGCTCTAGCTGTCAAATGCTTCCACAGTATCTATTGGACAACAGTACAGAAAATATGTCTGCGTGACCTGTGACAAATGAAGGTCTCTGGAGTTCTGAGTGAACCTGAGACTTTCTGTAGCGATTCAACTAATTGGATTGTGATTTTCTTCTAGGATTTCTTTAAATCTCCATTTATGGAATGAGTGTGCAATAGAAATCGCCCAGGGCTCACCATTTGAGGATTAGTGTTGTGAGCCGTATTTGCTTTATCTGAGGTATCTCAAAGATATGAGGCAAAACTAAAGATTTTACTGATCGTAGATCATATCACTTACGGTGACAAAAATAAACATAAAAATATGACATTAAACCCCAACAGCAATGATCAGTCTGCTGTTTCTATGTAGAGAAACATCAGCACAAAAAATCACCAGGATAATGTCCAGGTAGTGTGCTCTAAATGGACTAGTTGTTAAGAAATGAAACAGTAAACCATATACAAAATAATTAGCTCTATGTAATGTTCTTTTATGACATGATATGACCGGATAAATGAACTGACCTGAATATAAAATTACAGAAAATAAGTTACAAGTTAAATCAAAACAATGAACAGTGGTTAATTTCTCAATCATTTATTGACAAAAGCAAAATATGGATTTTTATCAACTTACTTGTGGCAAAAAGCAAAAATGTTCTAATAACTAATTAAGCATTAAATATAAAATGAAATATATCTGAAGGCACAGAGGTAAAAGTGGGAAGAATCAAACAGTGGAAGATGCAGTGAGAGAATATCAGCTTCATCAGTTTCCAGTCACCAAGGTCTGAAACTCTTCAGAAAATCCCAGTTCAATGAAAAAACCCAGCTGTCGACGTCACTGGGGTCTGACATTCAACACCCCGCATCTCATTTAGGACACAATCTGAAAACATACTAAGATCATTACATATCAATTTATGTGTTTATATATGTATATAAAAAACAAGTAGGTTCATATTTCTGTTTTCTTCGTATTTTATGTTATCTGCGGTTGCTCTACAAAACCTGCCACTACTGGTTGCCAAAGAAACACAAATATGCAAACAAGGCTGGTGATTATTTTCTCAGCATAGATTATCAGCAGGAGTATATCCTCCCTGCTGGTAAGTAAAAGAAATGTCAAATTTCAGAAGAAAATGAAAACTAAGAGCAAAATAACAGGTAAATATTTTAAACACTTTTCAGTCTTTTCTCTTACAACATGTTAGATGTCCAGAAGCTTTTAAAGTAAAGCTTTAAAAGCTTTACTTTAAGAGTACATGATTATGTACTTGAACATGATCATATTGTGAAGCGTGTGCTTAAGAAAACTAAGCAAAGCAGATGTTATAGCACACCTGTTTCAACTGGACAAAGGAACTAGGAGAAGCATCATCTCTCATCTCTAATTTAAGCCTAATTTGGATTTTAATCCTCAGATTTTCTTGGTGTTTCACTTTGGCTGCTAATAAAAAAGTAACAGGATTGTAATGAAGTAGAAAAACCAGCCAAGACAGAAAAACACAGATTGAAATAATGAGTTAAGATCAGTGAGGATACACAGCTGTTAACCGGGATCTTTCAGAGTTTAATACTGTACAGTCTTTGTTTTCATTTATAGCAAAGTGCACAAGTAATAATAGTGTGTTGAGTTATTTAGCAGCTGTCTTCCACAAGTATTTTTAAGCAACGTGTCTTTTTCATTTGGTCTAGAGCTCTTTAAAAGCAAGATATTTTTTCCACAAAGTGTTAAAAATGTAAAATTCCCTTTATGTATGTAAGCTTCCTTCATTAGCACATAAAGCAAAAGGAAACGAAAATGCGCAAAAACCACTGAAGATTGAAAATAAGACATGCAAAAACGACCTAACTTGTTAACATGACATGCAGACAGTTTGGCTGATAGGTGAAGGCTCGTCTCCATGCTCAATTTCCTCTTCATTTGTTCTTGGCAGCGAGTGGCTTGCGGCTGATCTTCCTGCTCTTATCACTGCTCTTCTTCGGAGGCTCTGGGTTAGCCTGCATGTGTCTACCATAGAGACTGGGAACACAGCAACAACAATCATGAGCAGACAGATTTAAAATGATCTGAGAAAATGATTTGATTCTTTAAAAGTTGTAAGAATTTACTCAGCAATTTGGCAAATAAAATGATGAGTCAAATCTTTTAGTCCAGACAATAATGCCCACAAATGTGTATACGCATCATTAGAAAAAAATCCTGAAATATTGTGGACAGTATCTGGAATATTGGCACAGAGATGTGTGATCATAATCAGCAGGTAGTATGTGATAAAGAAAATAACAAGAGTAAAAATGTTTATTAAAAATACTTAGGGATGGAGTTTTTCTCAGTGATGCTTGCAAATGTTTAATGTAATTCACTTGTTAGTACCAGTTCCACACTTACAGGCCAACATCCTTCAATGCCACTGTTGTCTGTCACACTTTCTTCCCTTGGGTGTCTAGCATACACAAGGCTAGAGGTTCAGTGAGGTGGAAAAGCCCAGACTCTCTTATCCCTCCCTACAGCCTTGTTAGTCCACTTCTTACTGTACATCAAGCTCAGATGGGGTCTTTAACAAACCTACTTCAGCTCTCTCGCTCTCTAGTCTTTGACTCAGTTAAAACCGAAACATTTCATATCAGTAAGTTAATCAAAGAGTTTGTTTTTACAAAGCCCGTCTAAACAGGAAAAACTGCAGTGTGCAGTAAACAGGAGTTACTCCAATTTGAGAACAAGAAAAATAAAGGCCTGGAGTAATTCTGATTATCAGGAAACATTACAGGTCATAAGCACAGAATCTAACTTCCGGATAAGAAAAAAAAAATCAATATGGATTTAAAAATCACACTGAAAATGATATAAAAATAGATATAATATTTTTATTTGAGTCTTTGCCACCATCTGCAAATTGCAGGCTGCAATATTTTCAGGTGTTCATTGAAAACACTGTTATGAGATCTCTGATGTAGTTGTCATGCCAGGACACTATACTGTCATTTCATTTTGAAGTCTCTAATTGCCAAACAATCAATACACATTACATTTTGTTAAGTGCCAATGAATGACTATCAATGACTATCAACTATCAATCCATTAGTGATTGATAGTTGAGAGGCTGTTAAAGGATCAAGTCATCTCCAAATTTCCCTCCTCTTTTGATCCGCTCCAGTTTGCATACCGCTCCAGCTGCTGCACAGAGGACCCGGTATCCTGGACACTGCACTTGAGCCTGAAACACTTGGAGAAGAATACTCATGTGCGAATGCCGCTATTGGACTTCTCAGCATTCAACAAAATCATCTCCCAGGTGAGCAAACTAGCTTCCTTTGGGCTCAGCCAATCACAAAATACCCCTCAGCAAGACCTGTTCTCCCTGCTGCCCTCTAGGAAAGGGTTCAGCAGCTTCAAAAACAGAACAACCGAATCCCATAAGGATGCTAAACTCCCATTAGTCTAATTATTTAATTATATATTTACATTGCTACTTTTATTACTTACTATTGGAGCTGTTACAAAGAACATAAGATAGTGGTTGTTGTGGTTAATGTAATTGCCGAGTTCTTTTACATGGACATGCCGGTT